CAGGAGCAGTTTATTTGATTTCCATTTTAATGTATGGTTTTGAGAAATTTTCTTAATATTGATTTCTATTTTTATTGCACTGTGGTCCAAGAGTGTTGTTGGTATAATTTTGTGGGTTTTTAAAAAATTTTCTAAAGATTGTTTTATGTCCAACTCTGTATATCATATTTTTATTGTACCTTTAGAGATGTTTGGATACACAAATACTTACCATTGTGCCTACACTATTCAGTGTAGTCACATGCTGTATAGGTTTGTAGCTAGGAGTAATAAGCTGTACCACATAGGTTGGCTGTATGGTAGTCTATACTATCTAGGTTTGTGTAAGTAGACTCCATGGTGTTTGTACAAGGACAAAATTGTCTAAGGATGAATTTCTCAGAATGTGTCCCAGTCGTTAAGTTATACATGACTTGTAGTAATTCCTAACAAACTGGAGACAGTGGTAGAAAAAAAAGTATTTTATTTCATTGTATGTCCTTTTATATTCTTTAAATTTGCTTAGTTGTGCTTACATTGCTTTTTTTTAATGTGCATTTTTTAAACAAGTGGAAGAGAACATGGAAAGAAAGAATTTCATTGCTTGAGCATAGTTTGTTTTTTCCAGGCCTACCAAAATAACACAATCCTACTGCAAGAAGAGACACACCCTGGAATAATATCAGGAGGCTGACGCATGCTCTTCCGATTTTTCTCAGAATGAGAAAATGTAAATTTTAACGTTTAAATTTTTTTAACATATGTAATCTTATGAGTGACAGGGTTGACTATAGAAAAATTCTTCATATTTCCCTGAGAGTTTAGAAAAGATAGTGGTTACTACTGATATTTACCATTATAGAGCACTTATTTTTCTCAGGTATTACATCATTTAATTCTCGAAACCAGGACTGGCTACATAATTTGTGGGCCCAGTGCAAACTGAAAACAAGGGCTTCCTGTTCAAAACCTAAGAATTTCAAGACAGTGGAAGCAGAGCTTGAAAACAAGCATGGAAGTCTTCTGAGCAGGGGCCCTGGGCAACTGCATAAATTACCAGCCCATGAAGCTGTCCTTGCTTGTAATATACCTGTGAAGAAATGTGTTATCCCTACTTTAAATATGAAGAAAATGATGCACAGATTTGAGAAAAGAACCAACCAGCCCCAAATGTCACAGTATATAAACTATGGATCTGGTGTTGAATAACTGTGGAGCTTGGCTCCAAGGCCTCTACTTACAATCACTCTAAGAGGAATCAGCTCCCAAATGTAGAGACAAGTAATTCTAAACTATTTCCCATTTTTACTAGGCAAATTAACTTACAGATCAAATGAATAGTACTTTAAAAGGAAATATATTTTATTTTCATGATCTCATTTGAGAGTCTTAAATAGACTCATAATCAAAATGGAGAAAGGTGACTGGGTGATAGTATAGTTAGCTAAATAAAAAAATTGTTGAATATAGGTCAAAATATAGTCTACTCTAGTTTTGACTCTGCCATATTAAACAATTTAGTGTAGACACTAAATTATTCTTACCGTGCTTGCAGTTTTCCTCTTTCTAGTGCATTGAGTGACAGGAGTATAATTCCATAGATCTTGACATATAAATAGAAATGATAGATTTAAAACAACAGTTTGGCAAAGCTTTAAAAATTTTTCTTTGCTTACAAAAGCAACATTTTGCGGATAATATCTTATAGTAGAAATTTGGGAACTAAAGGAATACAGAAATATACACTGTACAACAGAAATTATCTCTACTTTGTCAAAAAAAACAATGTTTATGTCTAGCATTGTTTATTCAATACTATAAAGCAAACATTTTCCAATGACATTAAAATATTTGAAATATAATACTCCATCCACATTCATATACCATAATTTACTTAAACTATCATCTGTAACATTAGGTTGTTTCCAAAATTGACTGTTATAAAGACCCTATAAACAAGGATAAATGTTATATGTAGCCTTCAGCATCAAATTAAATTTAAATGTTAAAATGCTAGCTGAGAGAAATCTGTTTTCGTAACATTTAAAGAGAAAATTACTTGATCATGTTTGGTGTATGTAATTATTTTGTATACTAGTATTTTTCATATGGCATTCATCTTCACAATTATTTGTGTGATTATCATCTTCCTTATTTTACCATAAGGTTCCTAAATACAGAGTTTCTATTTTACTCATTTCTGAATGTCCTATAGTGACTATATATTCAACAAACATTACAATTTTATTGAAACCTTGTGGTTCAGCTGCTGAATAACTTACACAGTTTTAGAATTCTTTGATTGACTATGGTGTCCAAAGCCAAGAAGCATTGGTTTTGGATGACGAATCAAATTAGATCTACTTCTAGCAAATAAATGGCATTATAGAGTTTGAAAATGATATTTATCAGGGTCATGATTATTAGATTTCAAATCTTTAAGACTATCAGGTAGAAATGATACTCAACTTACTCTGCTTTCCTTCAGAGTTCAAAGCAAGTTTTAACAAGAGGAAGTCTTAATGAGGCAGGATTCCTCTGGTTGTTAAGAAGATCTTTCCCAATGGGGAAAGTTTGCTTCCATGCCAAGAAAGGAGTTCTTTTTTTCTGGGAGTAGTGAGTTCTGTAATAATCAGGAGGTTATGTTAAATGGCCTTCATAGTCCCTCTCCTGTCTACATTTCCTAATGATTCTAACACATAATTAAGTGTTTATAGTCAATAACTAAAAGCCGTAAGGAAATTTAGTACATGACTTTTTATTCTGATTATATGAAGTAGGTTTTGAAAGTGATTATTGATTTGTTATATGTAATGAGTTCTACCTTGTATTTACAGGGTGAATGCACAGTTTTCTTATTTCTCCATCCCAAAGGAAATGAAGTAGTATTTTTCAATTACAGTGTAGTAGTGATTATTATATAGAACAATTACAGACTCATGTCTTACTCTTTTATTAAAAATGATTCATTTTTTTTCTCATCAGGCTTAGTATATTTTTAAATGCAGCTTCACAGTATATCATGTTGTCATTTCCCTTTACCCTCCATGGGTACATGTATCCAATTTTATAAGTAGATATCAATAAGAAAATATTAATATTACAGAAATTAAGACCCAAATATTTAGTAGCAGATGTGCTCTATAACATTAGATATAACTGCATAAATTAGCTTGGTATTTTCAGAATGTCTGCATTCTGGTCTGTATGTTTAAAATTAGGTCTTTTCTTAATCTGCAAAATACTATCTTCTAGCCACCACTGTATGCAAAGAAAGTTTGCTCATAGTTAAAAAAATATTCAAATAAAAAAATAAATTATATAGGGATCCTACTAAAAACCATATTTTCTTTGCAAAGAAAGTTTGCTCATGGTTAAAAAATACTCAGAAAATAAATGCTCTTGGAATCCTGCTAAAAACTACAGTTTCTTTCTGACAAGAAATCTAATTTTATCACGTAGTGGTCATTTTGTGTTGGGTGGCGTGTTTGAGTTTATATTTTAAGCCTTTTTTTTAGAGCTATGTTGCTTTCTGCTTTCATGTTGACATAACTTGTCAATAGACTACAATTAAAGTTGTTTGAGGTTCAGTGATTGATTCTAAATAGTGAATTTATGGAGATCCTAGAGAAGATAAAACCTGTGCTTGGCAAATGTAGAAACTATAACTCTTAGTATCCTTTTAACCTACCAAAATGGAAATCCTTCAGGCCCTCACACATGTAAAGATGTGTCTTCAACAAAAGGTAGCCTTTTTAAGCTATATATGTCAAAGCAATTTTTACTTAAAACATCATGGAAAAGATTTTATTCCTTCCCTGTTAATTGCCAATTTGGAAGCTGAAATAAGAAGATCCTGAGGCTTTTCCCATTTCCTCACATGAAAGGAATCAGTCCTCATTTGTGAGGCAGGGAGATTACTACAAACCCTTCCCTTATCTCTTGGCAAATTCAGGAAAATTGCTAAAATGAATCTTGACCCAGCCAGATCCCTGTTCCTATGACTGTAACTAAAGGCAGTTTCAATGCAGGCCTCTTGTGATTTCCTTGGAAATAGAACTTGTAAGTAAGTTGGATTACCACAAGGGTAATGATTACCATCCCAAGAGGTAACATTACAATCATCATAAGAGGAGCTCTGTGAGACAGAGGATAAGGAACAATGGTCTCACCATTATATGACTTGTCTATCTCATAATGCCCATATATTGAGGTGATGGCCTGTCATGTCTTGGCTCACAAAATGTGTTTTTCCAAAGATGGATGAACTGTTGCCCACTCCCCCGCCCGCTACCAAAAGTATGACCAGGAAGTAATTGTGATTGTAAACCAAGAAGTGTCTCCAATGATGAATTTGGGAACTCAAATATTTGAACATAATCACTAATTTAAATCAAACAAGAGTGGTGTGTTTTTTAGCATTTGAATAACATTCATCATAAAGATATGTATGGACTAATAAGTACTTTATGTTAATCTTTTATTGTAATTTTAAAAGTCGGTTCACTTACTTGATTAAAGAGTCGCTCATTACCAAGTTGAAATAATTTTATTTAAAAATGTATAACATAAAATAATCAATGTATATGATAACCTAAAATGCATTCTACAAACTTAATAAGCATTTAAAATGTACCAGGCAATGGAATTGGCACTGATGTACGTTACTAAAATTTATATTAAACATTTAAAGCAGCATGTAGAATTAACTATCAGAATGAATTACACACTACATTGTTCTCCTTTGTCCCCACCCCTTATTTCCTACAGTTTGACCAATAAATTGAAGGGGCACTAAATTTACTTGCAATGTTGAGATTACTTTCCTTTGCTATTTTAGTCGAGCTAACTTAAGTCAGATAAAACAATTTTATTTGGCTTCAATGTGGTGCTATTTTGATCTGAAGGTCAATCAACCAACAAGCAAGAACAGTTTCTCATTATTTTCCTTTCCCACTCCAAGCAGTCTTTACTGAAGTCTTTCGAGCAATGTCTGACCTCTGTTTCAATACTTCTCACAGATTTCACAGGCTGTCACCACCACTCAGCCATCACTAACACAGACAACTGTAATGGAAACAGTAACTATGGTGACCACAAGGGAGCAAATCCTGGTAAAGCATGCTCAAGAGGAACTTCCACCACCACCTCCCCAAAAGAAGAGGCAGATTACTGTGGATTCCGAAATTAGGAAAAGGTGAGAGCATCTTAAACTTTTATCTGCAAATGAAGTGGAGAAAACTCATTTATAGCAGTTTTGTTGGTGGCGTTTAAACTTCAGCAATATTTCCGGACGCCTCAGGTACCTGTAATGTCAGTTAATGCAGTGAGAAAAATTATGAAGTACTCTTTAAAATTTTCCCAAGAAATCACTATCGCAATATAAACTAAATGCTTAATGGAAATGGTGTCTTCCGGAGTGAAAGTACAAACTATAGGTGATAAACTACTGTGGTAGCATTTTAATCCTAAAAGCTTCTTCTTCTTTTTTTTTTTTTTTTTCCTTATAAAGGGCCTGCTTGTTGAGTCCCTAGTTTTGCATTAAATGTCTTTTTTTCCAGTAACAGAAAGTGCATTTTCATCAAGAAGTACACCTATAATAGATGAGATCCACCCTGCTAGTTTACGAGAACATGATGTCTCAATCTGCGCATCCTAAATCAGGAGTAATTACAGAACAGATTTCCTGTTCTTTGATATTTTTAAAGTCTTATCTTGAAGGTGTTAGAATTTTTAACTGATCTTTTTGTGAATATTCAAAATTACGCATTTTAGATAAGTTAGGTATTATGTGAATCAGTGGATCTATTAAAATGATGGCAATAAAATTTTATGAGTGCAAAGCTGGCATAAAAATTATTTTAAAAGGTACAGTTTCCCTTTCATTCCAGTTATTGTAATTCTAAGATTAAGAAAGAACATTAAAATCTACCGTATGTTTCTAAGCAGCATATGTTTAGAAACTCATGGAACGCTTGACATTAGAATTTGTGTATGCCAGGATAGAGAAGTATGAAAAGAACACACATCTAAAAATACCATGTCAGATGTTCTAAGAAAAAAATCTAGAAAAGTTAGTCAAATATATTATTTGGGACTTTCAGTACTTCTCTATTAACTAATGACTTATGACCTACTTTGATAATTCCAAAGAAAATCACTGGGCCTTTTCTCCCTGGTTGTGTCAGCTTGGCTAAGCAAATCTGCTAGTCCAGGGGTCAGCAAACTAAGGCCTGCTAACTAAATCTAGCATGCTGCCAGTTTTGTATGGCTCATCAGTCAAGACGTGTTTTTACATTTTCAAATGGTTGAAAATAAAAGAAAAACAATATTTTATGACATGTCAAAATTACGTAAAATTCAAATTTCGGTGTTATGAGTAATGTTTTAGTGGAACACAGTCATACCGATTTATCATTTACGATTACTTTCACATTACAAAGGCAGAGTGTGAATAGTTGTAACAAAAACTGTGTAGTCCACAAAGCCTAAAATATTTGTTATCTATCCTGTCACAGAAAAAGTTTGTTGACCTTTGCTCCGGTCAAATGGCTCTCAAACTCTATGAATATTAGTATTCTTTCTGGGGCAACAACTATCAGGAACTTCCAAGCCCTCTACTCTTGGTGGTAATAGAAAGTCTAACAAAAATTGACGGAGTAAAAAAGTATAATGGCACACATCCGTGAAGCTTTTGATGAATTATCTTTTTATTATTCCTAGTAAGATGTACGTTAACTTGTTTGTTGTCACATTAAACATGTGTTATGCACAATGCTTAGTGGACATATAGATTTATGGATCTGCATTTGCATATGGATTTGCAACATTCCAACAACCCTCCAACAGTTCTCCAAACAGAGTAATAGGGACACCTAGTTGCCTAACCCTCTTAATGTCTTCTTGCCTAATACAGAAATTAACAAAGCAGGCGGATTCATGTCAATCTCTGTCTTCAGAAGCTTATTATTGGCTTCTGTTTGGAGAATGGATTGTGTTGGAAAAAAAAAAGTTTGTTCTGACTTCTTTTTGTTTTCAGGAAAGAGTGACTGACTGGTGGTGAAATATCTTGTCTCCAACATTTGTTTGTATCATAAGTTTTCAGCAATTTTTGTAAGTGCCTAAATGAGAAGTCCCATTGGGCACATAAAGAAAGATTCTTCAAATAAAAGCTAACATTAATTGAGGATTTATTATGTGCTCAGTAGTAGATTCAATGCTTTATTGGGAATGTGTGTATTTTTCCCAATAACCTCCCAAAATAGGTATGGCTATTACAACTTTATAAAATTATACACAGCTACAGAGTGCCTGAGCCAGGATTTGAACTGAGATAGCTACAAAACCTGGACTGTGTAGTAAAATGTCTTTTTCATGGATATATGAGTAAGGTATTCCTATTGATTTACCTGAAGCTATCCTAGATTACACCTGTCATCCCAGCATAATTATATATAGCATCAACTTTCACTCTCAAGTATGTCCTGATTTGGACAGCAAAATTATCTGACCACTCTATATAAGACACTTGATTGATAAATTTAGACTGAACGAAGTTAGCAAAAAGGCAAACATTTAGGAACAAATTCATTAATTGATAATTGTCTACAGGGTGGAATCTTGTTAAAGTATTGTAATGATTAAAGAGACGTCATGCAAATATAACCATAAGCTTTATATTAGCTAGTGCCTCGTTTTTGTATCATGCGAAGCCCACTAATATTTCACTGAATATTGAGGTCTTGACCATCTGTTGAATATTGTTTTATTTAAATCATGTCCTCTTCCAGCTTCTTTGACACACTACCAGTTGTCACCCATGACTCTTTGCCTGACTTGTTTTATTCCTTCTGCCTAATTCCTATGGGAGTATCACATAAATCCATCTCTTTGCCTTTCTGACTTCTTTTTTTTCGTTTGTTTGTTTTTGCTTTGTTTTGTTTTGTTTTTTGAGACAATGTCTTGCTCTGTCACCCAGGTTGGAGTGCATTGGTGCAATCTCAGCTCACTGCAACCTCCGCCTCCTGGGTTCAAGCAATTCTCTGCCTCAGCCTCCCGAGTAGCTGGAATTACAGGCGCCTGCCACCACGCCCTGCTAAATTTTTTGTGTTTTTTAGTAGAGACAGGGTTTCACCGTCGTGGCCAGGCTGGTCTTGAGCTCCTGACCTCATGATCCACCCACCTCAGCCTCCCAGAATGCTGGGATTACAAGCATGAGCCACCGTGCCTGGCCTTTTGACTTCTTTATCTGAATTATCTCGTCTCATTGATTCGAGCCTGGCTGTAAGTGACTGACTCCCAAATCATGTAGCTCCAGATGTGACACTCTCCCTCAAATTAAAGCTTTATATCTCTAAAGCTATTTCCACTTGTGCATCCAGCCACTGCCTCAATGTTCATTTTTATCAAATGCAAACATTTGTTCCTTCCAATTAACCATACCTACTTATACATTGCACACATATTTTAGTTATTATAATTCATTGCCTGTGTGTCTAGAAGAGTATCAAATATTGAAAAAATCATGGCTTTTGGAATCAGAATTACTCAGGTTTGAATGCTGCCTGTTTTTTTTGTTTTTGTTGTTGTTTTTGTTTTTTCCCCAACTTTTAAGTTCAAGGGGTAAATGTACAGGTTTGTTACATGGGCAAATTGTGTGTTGTGGTTGTTTGGTGTAGAGGTAATTTTGTCTCTCAGGTAATCAGCATAATATCTGATAGGTAGTTTTTCCATCCTCATCCGCCTCCCACCTTCCACCCTCAACTAGACCCCAGTGTCTATTGTACCCGTCTTTGTGTCCATGTGTACTCAATGTTTAGCTCCCACTTAGAGGTGAGAACCTGTGGTATTTGTGAAACCTGCCCATTTTAATTACTAGCTTATGAGCGCAGGCAAATTACTTGTTATCTGTGCCTCAGATTCCAGTAATCTCAGTTTATAAAACACCAATCATGAGTCATGAGAATTAAATGAGAAGCATTTAATAAATTGCCTTTAAGGTGGTAAACATTCAATAAATGCAATGGTTATGATTTTTGTTTGGTGGTGGAGACCGTAGAGACGATGAAGATGGAGGAAGATTGTGATGGGTAGGAGGGATAAAAGTGATGGTGGGAGAGGTAAAGATAGTCGAGGTGGTGATGATGGTGGTGGAGGTAGTGATGGAGATGGTAGTCACATATTATTGACAGGGAAAAATTCCGTAGTAAACATTATCTCAAACCTAACAAATATAAAATTACCTTCCTGTTTTCCTCTTCAAAACAGCATTTACCACCTGACATCTACAGTTCTGTGAATCTTATACTTTCTTCTCCTTATTTATTATAATTAGATTGTAAGGGCAAGTGCCATCATTTCAGTCATTTCATGATCATTCACACTGCCAAGTCCATAACCTGAGTCATATACCTCACTGTGGAGAGAACTGCCCTCCTTTCTGATTGATCGACCTAAAATGAATAGATCTGAAATGATGCTTTTTGCTGTCTCTCCAGTCCTGCAAATTTCCGTAACCCGAGATGCCTCCAAAACAAAACTCAAGCACTTCCTATGGCATTAAGCATTATTCTCATTCTCCACTAATTCTATGTCTACCTTCCCAATAATAATTATTCCACTTCAGCTGGCAAATTACATTCATTTGGTTGTATGCCTTCACGCCACTCACATAAAATTTCTCATTGCCAGTCACAACAAAGAAAGCCTATTATTACACTTCTTTATATTTTACTTAGATTCCACTGTAGTAAATACTGTGGATACAATAAATAACCAATAAATGTTTGTTGAGAGAGTGAATGGTATATAATTCAAATAATTGTAGTAACTAAGATTTGACATTCCAATATCATTTAAAAATTCTACCTAGCTGTTCCTGGAATTGTTCTTGATAATAAACATGTGACCATTCTAATGATCTTTAATAATTCCAATTTTACCCATTAGGGTATCCTTATTTACTCAAAACAATTAAGGGATTTAAAATTCAGCTTTCTACCACAACATAGTTTCTTAGCAATCTAAGGTACATTTAGTTGATTCCTAAATAATTACACAGTTTCTACATATGTTGTATTTATTGCATACATTTTTCTCTTTACACTGAGATTTGCAAAAGTGATGACCTTGGGTCACAACACAATTATTTCTAATAGCGGATTATTCCTGCAATTCAGTGCTATTACTTTACATGTA